CCCCAAAACCCCAAAACCCCAAAACCCCGTGGAGAGATTTTTTAATTGAGGTATGATAGAGTTTGTTTTATAACTCCAAATTACTTTGAACCCAACACCTAAGTTCTATCCCCATCCAATCTCTTCAGCGGTCGCTGGAACCACTTTCGAGCCTATAATCAGCAACTGGCTTACCTGCAGGGTGGAAGAACTGGGGATTTGGTCGAACGAAAGAGCTCAGGCCCGGCTCAGGCTGGATTTTGGTCAAAGAAATTCCTTTGGATCTAATTTGGCTGCTGAAAAGGAGGGTAAATGGATTGGGAATTTGAGGTGAAGGGAGTTTTAGGGGGTTGAAAGGGAGGTTTTAAGAGTTTGGAGAGAAGTGGGTTTAGGAGTGAAGTTTTTGCCAAAAGCTTATAGCTGGTTGTTTTATAGGGATGGAAGTATAATGTATTTGTGGTATAATCATTCCTTTAGCTATGAAATACCTTTAAAAATTATTTGTAAATATTTTATAAAATTCTACAAAGCAAAATTTTGAAAAACTTAAACACTTACCAGCCACCTAAATTATTTTCAGCTTTTGCTATCCGAGCCATCCCTGCTTCATTTTGAGCTACACATAAAATCCTACTTACCAATCATATAAGCCTGACTCCTCTCGTTCATATCTCAATAAATCTGCTGCCCATTAGAATCCTGCTGCACCTCCTGCTCAACACTTTGCTTCTCATTACTAAAATCCTTCTCACAGGACCCAAGATCATCAAAATCAAACACCTTCCTCCCTCACTTCCCCTTAACTCAAATCACCCCCAAAACCCCCACTCAAGTCAGCACCACCCCTCCAACAACAATCAACACCACATTCACCGCTGAAATCCCTGAATTCCTTCCTGTTCCATCACTAAAATCCCAAAATTACCCCTAAAACCTCAAAATTCCTCAAAAATCGTTAACCCCTATAAAGGATTTCCCCTAAAAATCCCTAAAAATTACCTTTGAGAATCCTCAGTTTCTATAAATTCTAGTTCAACAGCTGAAGTCTGTTGAAAAGGAAGGACCAAGATGTATATAGGACTTGTACTGTTGATGCTCACTTCGGCAATGGAGTCGAACAGCAGGTTCTTAAATTCGTACACAAAGGGTTTTACAACTGACTCGGTATATACTAATCTTAGTAATCTGAGCTTACCTTCTGCACTAGCATTATCGATTCTGGCTAAAATTATTAGGTGTGTTAACGTTAAGTTCAAAATTTGTAGTATAATTCTGATAAATCTTACTAGGTGTGATCTTAAGGGTATTCGAAGTCTCAGACACAGAAGTAATGTTATATACTCAGACAATATCTTTGTCAGTATAATTATTTGATATTATTTTACTTGAATTACTGGCTTCATAATCTAGTGTTCCACATTGAGATTTGAATGATGGACATAGAATCATTTTTCCATTAGAAGGATTGTTTAGATCGAGATCTGTAAGCACACTGGAGCATGCAATATTGAAATCAAGACCACAAGAGAAACTCTCCTCATCTCTATTACATCATTTTCCTTGTCGGGGATGAGAAAGATCAAAAACACACCATTTATTTAAGATTAAAGCCTAATCAAGACCTTCACTCAGAAGATGTCGATGAAAGAGCTCTCTCTCGCTCAATTCTACTACTCATAACACTCCAGATCAAGCAAATCATCCCTACCAACCTTGCTAATACCATTTCTAAATATTATTAAATCCCCCTATCTCTTCGGGGTTTTGGGGTTTTGGGGTTTTGGGGTTTTGGGG